GAGGGCCGGGGTACCCTGGCTGGTAAGGTGTAGAAGTATAGGGGAGTCCACCTGGCCTGGAGGACAGGCATATCCATGAATCGCTCAGACTCAGGTGTGCCCGAAGATCCCGCCTTGCTCATGACCAGGTCCTGGTCACCTCAGCCAGGTTATTCATTATAGAGCATCTCCCTGCTGCAAACAGTGGCGCCCACTGCCCGTGGCCCTGCCAGAGCAGCCTGTACCACCCACAGTGGGCCCACGGAGTTCTCAGCACCCAAGCCCACCTTTCTCTGCAGCCCCCTGACCTTGCAAGGGACACCCTCCTGCTTCCCAGCACCCACCCACCTCCCTCATGCCCCTTTTCCCTTCGTGACTGGCTTCAGGTACCACTCCTTCCCGGAAGCCTGCCTTCCCCCCATGCCGTCTTCCAGTCCTGGGCACACGCTGTGTCCCATCTGCTGGCACATCTGTGTCCCTCCGTGGACGGGGAGTCCCTCGAGGGCAGGGTGGTGCTGGCGTGAACTTGGGTGGCAGTGGGGAAAGGCGTCCCACAGAAGCGTGGAGGCAGGGAGACAGGGCTGAGTATAGACCACTGTTTATTGAGCACCACTGGATGCCACCCCCTGTGCTGGGTGCTTTCTGACCCATTTGGTCCTGGTCGTAGCCCTAAGAGGAAGGTTGAATGTCATGTCCATTTTAAAAAAGCAGAAACCGAGTCTCCAAGCAAGGATGAGAGACCTGGGCACAGCTACTCTCTGGGAGGGCAGAATGGAGAGTGTGTTCCATTCGGTGTGTGACCCAGCCCCGTGCCTGCCTTGTAGGAGCCCCTGGGTCTGCAGACCTGGCCCAATGTAAAACAGAGGGCATTTGGATTTTATCTCCCCTCTAAATTACCTGCATTGTTGAGGGCTTCAATCGCATCAGACAAACCCTGAGTTTCTTGTGACTTGACTTTTTTCCTTGCACTGACTTTTAAAAAGTTGAATTAAACACATTAACTATGCTAATATTAAGTAAACGGCTCAATGATGTTTATATCCTTAAACACACCAGCAGCCACCCTGCCGAACAGGACTTTGAACACCCCTCACTCCTCCGAAGGCTCCTTAGAGCCCCCTCCCAGGCACCCCCACCCCACACCTGTCTTCTATCTTACCTCAGTTTGCCCATTCTTTTTTTGTGGGGAAGGTTACTCAACCACTGAGCCCCAGCCCCAGCCCTATTTTGGATTTTATTTAGAGACAGGGTCTCATTGAGTTGCTTAGGGCTTCACCATTGCAGAGGCTGGCCTTGAATTGTGATCCTCCTGCCTCAGCCTCCCGAGCCACTGGGATGACAGGTGTGTACCTGGCAGCCTGCCCATTCTTGAACTTCACATAAATAGAAGCATGCAGGATGTGGTTTCTTTGGTTTGAATGTGTCACCCCAAGGCCTGTGTGTTGAAGACTTAACCCCCAAATTCCTATGATGGATGGTATTCGAAGTAATTAGGTAATTTAGGAGGTAATTAGAATTGAATGAGGCCATGACAGCAGGGGCCCCCATGATGACATTAGTGGCTTTTTAAGAAGAGACCAAGAGACCTGAGCTAGCACACTTGTTTTATCCCGCCACGGAACTCCCTCCACCATGTTGTGATGTAGCAAGAAGGCCCTCACCAGATGCAGCACCATGCTCTTGGATTTCCAGAGCTGAAAGTCGAATAAATTTCCATTCTTTGTAAATTCCCCAGTCTCACCTATTTCCTTATAGGTGAAAAAAAAAGAGACAAAGATAGTGACCTTCTGGGTCTGACTTATTTGGTACAACACTGGGTCTGTGGGGTTCACACTGGGTCTGTGTTTGCCTGTGTGGCTTCTTCTTTTTCATTGCTGCGTAGTTCTCCATGGCTGATGTCTGTGCCTAGGGTACCGCCTTGGCTTATCTCTTCTCCTCCTGATAAACATGTGAGTCAACTCCTTACCCTCTCTTGGCTTGTGTCTCTTTTCATGATTTTGATGCAAGGAGGGGCTTTGGTCAGGGCGTTATGTAGAAATGTCTAAAGAGCAATCGGCTCTGTAGACCTTTAAGAAACTCTAGCCATCCTCCTGGTCCTGATCATTTGGGATCAGAAACAGATGTGTTTGTTGAGCTCGGTTTTCTGTTTCAAAGGGATCTGGGGATGGGAGAGAGCGAAGCCAACGGGGTTCAGTGGAAGTTTCCCTCCTGTTCTCTTCCCCCGAGCTCCGCGGAGGATGATGGAGTCCCCGTGTAATTTAAAGTCAAAAGCTCAGGGCTGGCCGTGGGAGCATAATAAATGTGTTGTCGCTGTCCTCCCGCTGTCCTTTCTCGGCTACTTTGAAATCTCATAAATAACCGGGAGCCGGGTGAGGTCCTTCCTTCCCTCCCCACACTCCCGTGGAGTAGCTGCGGTTGCTAGGCTGCGCTCCTGGTTGCTAGGGCTTCTGTGGTCCTGTGGCGGCCCAGACATATGACAGATCGGCGGAACATGCCTCTGCTATTCATTGAAACGTTGCCACAGCGAATCTCTCAATGTCACCGCACGCTTTGACGTCGTCCCCCTTGCCCGGTGATCCTTTGCAGGTTCCCAGTTAGACCAAGTGGCTTCAATGGAAGGGACTAGTGGCTTGGGTTGGAGTCAGGAAAGCCGGCCTCTTGTCTCAGATCTGATGTTAATTTTCTGTGGAAGATGGGGCAAGTGTCGTCCCCTCTCTGGGCAGGGGGACACTACGAGATTCAAAGACCTGTCAGCCTGAGCGGCCAACCATCCATCACCGCGGTCTCTGAGGGGACCCGGTGCCGATCAGTTCCTCATTATCTGCTGGTGGCTTCTTGACAAAAGGTTCCTCTTCCCGGTGGCGTCTGTTCTGCACCCAGCAGGCTCCTGGGCTGAGGCTCCGTGGCCAGATGGTGCGGGCACGAGAGTTTCAGACAGATTCTAATATTCAATCAGACATAATTGGGATCATAAATCAGAAAACAAAACACAACAGAACCCAACCCCTGCACCCCCCGACATCTGACGGTGCCCTTGTCTCTTGTGTCCTGCTCACACATCCTCTGGCAGCCCCCGTGCTGAGCTGGAGGTGGCACTCCGGCTTTGGTGCAGTGGCTGCGGTAGCTGATGGTTGGAAGGGGTGATGTCCAGAGAGCGATCGGGGCCCCCAGGGACGGTGATGGATTAGTGATGTCTGCCCTGGGCCTGGGCTGTGGGCGGGGGCTCGTCCAGCCCTTGCTCATGGTGGCTGGACCTGAAAGCGCCTGCTCTTTGATGTTGTGCCTGAGGCCTTCCAGCGGCCTGCTGGTGGCTCCCCAGGCTGGGTCCTCTCCCCTTCTCTCTGACCCACCTCCAAAAATAACCACTCTGTGTCCACGTTCAGTCGGGTCCCTGTGGTCTCCAAAAATCTCCTTCCTTTGCTTATGTGTGTCCCTGTGCCTGTCCCTGTGACTGTCCCTGTGCCTGAGATGGCCTCCAAGGCCAGACCAGGGCTTTGCCCATCTCCGCGCCCCAGACCCGAGCTCAGCACAAGGCGGACAGAAGCCAGCCTGCCTCCCAAAGCCAGAGAGGAGCGTGCTTCTCTGGCTGTCCCAGCAGCCCGGGTTGGCTGTCACACTCCTTGGCTTCATCGTGATGACTTACTGACCACGCAGTCCCGGGACTGACCTTGGCTTGGGCTGTGAGTTGGCCCTTCCTGTTTGCGCTCACGGCCCCTCCCCCTCTCTCTTTGCCTTCAGCCTGAAGACAAGCAGAAGGCAGGGGCGGCCTTTGCCCAGCTCCGGGGCGCCATGGAGACGCTGGGCATCTCAGAGAGCGAGCAGCGGGCCATCTGGCGGGTGCTGGCGGCCATCTACCACCTCGGCGTGGCCGGAGCCTGCAAAGGTAGGTCCCTCCTGCGGCGCTCACCTGGGCACCTGGTCGTCCCCTTGGGCAGGTGTCCGACCAGGCCCTTCCTTAGGGGAGGTGGGGACAGGGTCGATCTGTCACCTTCCACGTGTCTGGGGCTGCCTGCGGATCCGCAGAGCAAGAAGGAAACAGGCTGGGATTTTCAAAGGAACCTTCTGGAACAGGGTGTCCCAAAGAGCCTTCTGCCCCCTGCAGACGTCTGTCTATGCCATCGGCTATGGTAGCCGCCTGCCCTCTGTGGCTGTAGGGCTCTTGGAATGGAGTCCGCGCGGCCCAGGGGTTGCATGTCTGATTTCTTCCGCGGAGTTGATTTAAACCTTGGAGCTGTTTGCAGCCATCAGGGATGGGGCGCAGCGGCCGTGGAACACAGCCGAGTCCGGGGCTGGGCGGTGCACGCCCCTCTCTCTGCTGAACCCACCAGGCCATCGCTGTCCGCTCTGAATCGTCTGCTGACGTGGCTACTCCCCCTGGGTCTCTCTAGTGGGTCCAGCGTCCCCTCTTGCCCCTCCCCCTCCTGTCTGGCCATGTGCTGTGCCCTCTGGATCCCTTAGACGAGGTGTTCGCCTTCTGTAGGAGTTTGGCCTGGACTGCTGCAGTAGCCTCTCGCTGGTTCTCTGGCTCCTTGGTCACGAGCTCCGGGCTGCTTTCTGGGACCTCGACCCAGGTGCTGGCTGAGAAGCCCCCGCAGCTCCCTCACCTGCCAAACCAAGCAGACGGCCCTGGGTGGTGTGGGCCGCTCGCCTCGCCATCCAGGCTCTTGTCGTGTTTCGCTGGCGCCGTGCAGGGCTCTGGGGAGACAGAGGGGGTCAGAAGCCATGCGGTCCCTCCTCACGGAGCCCGGGGTGCCTTGGATCTCCCGGTGTCCCTGCTCACTCTTTCCAGTAGGGAGTGGCTTCCTTTGACCCCAGCGTAGAGGTGGGACTGTGGAATGAACACCCCGTGAAGAGGGGCCTGTCGGGGGCTCGGCTGAGGTCTGGGCTATTCCTGGGGGGGGGTGGATTCCTCAAGAAGGTGCCCACACATCTGTGGGCCTCGGGTCCCCTTCTTTCCATCCACGGATCCACACCTATTAGTCCACTGATCTTGGAAATTTCTAGAACTAATGCTGAGTCAGGGACAAGCAGGGCGGGGGTTCCACAAGGACCCCGGCTGAGCAGGGACATGGCCAGGCAAATGTCAAAGAAGCAGACATCCAGGCCCTCCAGAAACAGCCCCGGGCTTCTCGGTGCCCTGACTGTTTGGTGGCACTACTGGTTTGATGAGGGCCGTGACGTCTCTAGCTCTATGTCCCCGGCACCAAGGCCAACCTGGGACAGGTGCACCACAGCGTAGGAATCTTGTCCCATCTCCAACCTGGGGTGTGTCCCTCTGCCTGCAAAGCTCAGGTCACAGTCAGAACCGGCCTCTGTGTCTGCCTCCTTCTACCCTGGGGGTCACCAGCTGCAGCTCATGGGTCAAATCAGCCTGTCACTTGCTGGGGTGCAAACTAGGAATAGTTGGTACACTTCAGTTGTACAAAAAAATATGTGCATAGATGTGTGTGTGTGTGTGTGTGTGTGTGAGAGAGAGAGAGAGTGTGTGTGAGTAATATGTCATCGTATTTCAATAATATGTCCTAAATTTCATAATATGAAAATTATACGGTATTCAAGTCACAGCGTCCTTAATTAAAGTTTTCTCGGAGCCCGATACATCCCTTCAGTCACCTGTCTGTGGTGGCTCTCTCTCTGCGATGGCAGAGCTGACGAGCAGAGATGGAGATTTCCTGCAAAGCAGAATGGAATTATTAGTTGGCCCTTTACAGAAAAAGCCGGCTGAGCGCTAGTCCACAGCAGCCCGCGGGGACCACAGCACCTGTAGGTCCATGTGCCTCCTACCTTCCTAACTCCTTGGTTTTGCCCTGGGAAGTTCCTCCCCTCTCCTGGGATCCAGCCAAATCAAGGAGAAGATGTTAGAAATCCAGCTCTTATATTAATGATGGTCACGTCTGCCTAACAACCTTGATTTAGTCAACATACAATGTATATATGTACAGAAACATCAAACTGCACTCCATGATTGGGTACAATTATAAAATATCATTTTTTTTTAAGAGAGATTCAACTGAAACCTCAATTTGCTGGGTGACCTTCGGCAAACTAGCTGCATCTCTGGTTTCAGTTTTCTTCTCTGTGAAATGCTGGAGTTGTGTCCATCTTAGTTCATTTTCTGTTGCTATAACAAAATACCCAAGACCAGGTGATTTATGAAGAACAGAAGTTTATTTAACTTCTAGTTCTGGAGGCTGGGAACTAGCAACTGGTGAAGGCCTCCTCACTGCATCATAACATGGTGGAGGGCAACCTGTGGAGAGAGAGGAAGAGGAAATGTGCTGGAGAGAGCTCACCTTTATAGCAAAACCTCTCCCTCTGTGACCCTTTAAGTCATTAACCTCCCAATGCTATTGCAACATGGAACGATTTGTGGGCCTATTGAAACCACAGTAACCGCATCAGAAGTTCTTTTTTGGAGGGGCTCCTGGGGACTGAACCCAGGGGCACTCCGCCACTGAGCCACATCCTTAGCCCTGTTTTCTTAAAAATTTTATTTAGAGACGGGGTCTCACTGAGTTGCTTAGCGCCTTGCCATTGCTGAGGCTGGTTTTGAGCTCATGATCCTCGTGCCTCAGCCTCCCAAGCCCCTGGGATGACAGGCGTGAGCCACCGCGCCTGGCAGAAGTTCTTAATCAGGGGTCCACAGCCTGCACCCCAAGTGAGGGTTGCCGGGTGGATTTCAGGCATGCAGCTTCCAGTGGCCACAGTGATGAATGAGCACAGCCCTGGTGGCTTGAACCAACAGGGGTCCATTCTTGCACAGTTCTGGGGCAGCGACTCTCTAGGGGAGGCCCCCCTCCCCCCACTCCTGGGGGCTCTGGGCAGTGTCTGGCCCCTCCCGCGGCTTCCCTTTCCTTTGCCCCTGGGCTGGCATCCTCCTCTGTCTCTTCTGAGGACACTAGCCACTGGTTTGGGGCCACTGACCGTGCCACCTTGAGATCCATAGGACCCTCTTTCTCAAACAGGTCACATCCACCAGCCCTTGGGCTCAGGACCTGGCTTTGGGGGCCACCACTGAAGTCACCGCAGGGGCAGATCCTGGGACGGCCTGCTGGGTAGGGTGGGGCTGTGTATTTGTCCAAGCCTGCACCAACTGCAGACCCTTGGCCCTCAGGTGCAGGAACTACCAGAACCAGTGGTATCTGGAGACCGTTCTAGGTCTATCTGCCTGTAGTGATTCTCCTTTTCACGTCGTTATAGCATTTTATAATCCAGAAAGGACCTCAGAGAAGGGTCAGGTGTTACCTAAGTAGCAGTCATAACATTCCTTCAGTAGCAGTCTTATGCTGGTGCCGTTCTACCTCTTGTATGTGTTTACTCTAGAAATCCTCACAGCAAGTTGAGAGCTGGGTGGTGGTGTTATCTCATTTCTTAGGGAAGAAAAGTGAGCACAGAAAGGGTGGACAATTTGCCTGAGGCTGCACAGCAAGGGAGTGGAAGAGACCCCCAGGCTCTAGCCTCTGAGCTGTTGCTGCTGCACAGTGAGCAGAGAGGGGCCACCTGAGAACCTCCCTCCCTTTTCCCCATCTCCTCCTTATCATGAGCCTGTGAACGCGTCAGGCCAGAAGGTCCCCTCAAACGCTCTCGGCTTCGGGGATCTTCCCTTCCACGTGGGGAAGCACAGACAGGTTTGTGGCACTGAGTCTGTGGCCATTCCTGGGGTTCCTACGGGACTGGGAAGATACCGGAACGGGCGTGTGATTGGGTCAGTTTGTGTCACGTGATCATCTCCTGGGTCCTGATAGGCCGGGCTCCTTGACGGACAGCTCCTCCCACCGCCCTTGGCCTGGGCTCTTGAGGGCCTGAAGGCGCGGCTCTGGACGGGCACAGGAGTGCTCCGCGCTGGGGCGGGACATCAGGGCTTGGGGACCCGTGGAAAGACACCGACCCACTGTCCAGATGGGAGCACTGAGGCCCAGAGCGGCTCGCTGCCCTGCGTGCACCCAGCTGTTCCCCTGGGTTAGAGCAGGGTCCACGGAGCGGGAACCAGGATGAAGGGGAAGTGGACCTAGAGGCCCAGCAGAGAAGGGTGGGGCTGATTGGAAGAGGGTGGACCCCGGAGGGGCCAGGGAAGGGCGGGTCAGGGCGCGCTGGGGAGCGGCTCACCCCTGTGCCATGGGGCTGAGTCCAAGGGGCAGGGTCGCCTGGACATTTGTCCACCTCCTCCTGCTGACCGTGATTCAGGGGGGCACCACGGAGCCCCCTCTGTGAGCAGAGCACGCACCCGCAGCCAGCAGAGGGGCATCTGCACTGGGAGTCCCGGGACACCAAGGGAGTGGCAACCTACGGGGATCAGGATCACAGGGAGGCCACCCATGCCTATGACTACTCAGTAGAGGTGGCACAAGGATGGGTGTTGCTGAGCCTGGGGGAGGTGACCTCCTAGGGGACACAGGTCTTTGTCATCCACATGGAGCAGAACTGCTCCCTTCTAGAACTTGTTCCCCAAGGCCTGGGAAAGGCCCGCCTCGGGTTGGCCTCCCAATTCTCCCACCTGCACTTGAGCCCTCTCTGCCTCCCTGGGACAAAACAGAGGCCCAGGGAGTCCCCTGGACTAGTGTCCTGTCCCCAGAGAGGCGAGGGAGCTCTGTCTCATTGCTTTCTCCCCGCAGGACAGGGCCATCGGCCCCTCTGCCTGGACCTGCCCCGTACACATAAACGCCTGTGATGATGAAGGAGGAAGTCACATTTATAAATATTTTATTAACATGATTATGGCCATAATTTCTCCCAGCCCCGCCCCCGCCCTCCCACCTTCTAAATTATTTTAAGAAGAGCTTCTGCTCCGCTGCAGGCCCATGGAAACCCTGCCCGGTGATTTACTCACTCTCTCTCGAGTGCTTTGGAAGATTTCATAATAGGGTGTTCTGAAATCAGCTATTA